CCCCAATAATTTCATCTATGTATAGATTCAAACTTGAGAGAAAGATATTGAATACAATTTTGTGTGAGGCTGATAACAGCAATATTTCTTAATAACTACTAGTCAGTTTTATCATTCTTCTTGTAAACTGGTGCAATAATAGACTCCTTCCACTGCTTAACCTTTGAAGGCTAGACTTTTGAAATGGTGATAGCTTGAACTGGTCAGAGTTTGTTTAAATGTCAGCTGCTAGCGTGCGTTTAAATGCCCACCGTTCCTCTGGTTTAAATATCCATTCCTCTTAGGGCATTTGCACTTTATTTGAAAATTGTGTATCTAATACAATTTTTACGATAAATGAATGAAATTAACTTTGCATTTATCAGCAAAAAACACAGTGTCACATATTACAACATAAGATTTAAAAATATGTTGACAAAAAGTTAGAAACTATTTTTAATTTTTTTCTTGTAGTTTTGATGCATACCATAAAAATACTTTCACACTTCTTCATATAGTAGTTCTGCAATATAAAATCATTCCTGCTTGTAACACTTGAAATATTTTCGCATTCTCTGGTGTCATAAAACAGTTGGAAGCAATAAAGTCACTTGGTTCTCTGCTGGCAAGTCTCACATCTTTGTTACACTCGTCAGATATCCCAGTCTTTTGACTAAAGGACAGAAAAGTGAAAACATGTCCTTTCAAGAAAGGCTACAGGGAATATTCACTGTTGCTTACTTCGGTGCCAAGACAATGCAGCTGCAAGCGAATATTACCCTTTCTATGGTTGCAACCCAACACTAGCATTGAAGCTGAAATACAGAGTGCATTCAGTTTCCTGTGAGTTCATACTGAATTTGAGTACAGTAGTTTCATTTTATCACATAATGGCAGTGAAACATTGTTTGCAAGATGACGAAATTGAAAGGCAGTTGATATGGAAGATATGTGGCAAGGAACCGAGCTATCACGGATTCTTCAAGGAGTATTACACAAAGGCGAGATTCGGTTACATGATGTGGGAGTTGAAGCCTGTATGTATGTCAAGCAGATAACAAAAAATGTAATGTATATTGAATTTTACTATATTTAAAAATAAATATTTAGAATTATGCATACACTTATACTAGTGGCATGTGCGCGAGCTTCCACTAGTGGCGTTAAAATGTCCAAATGCGCAAATTTGGGTACTTTGGCCACGAGGACCATACTCATCACTGTACCGATCAGTGCGCTTCGGACATTATAGGTTAAGAAATTCTTCCTTCCCCCAAATAGAATTAATAAGTTTATGGATTTCAGACTGCATTAGTTGACCTCCTCCTTAAATCAGTTCTGCCAGAATTTGATCACTACCTGGAGATTTATACTGTTTCAACTTTCCAATATCAATTTCAATCTCAAAAGGCCTAGGATTAGGTACTAACGGCTCAGACGTATGCATTTCCATCTGCCTAAAATCACTAACCTTATGTACATTCAACAGCTGAGAGAATTCTTCCACTCGTTCAAAATGTTGCGGGAATCTACAAGTAAATCACTGTTCTCATCTTCTATCAAGGTAGCTCTAGGTTGGTAGCCTTCTTAAATTCATTTATTCCTCTATATACATCTCTAATGTTCTTCTACAAAAGCCTCTTGAAATACATCAGTACAGAAAGGAGCATCATGTCCTCCATACATTAAATAGTTATGCCAAAGTAAATCTTACACAGCATCTCAACATATTACATTTCTAGCCTTGCAGTGAGAAAAATACTGGCCAACGTGGAAGTTGTCACACAGAAAGAAAATATAGTATGCCACAAATTCAAAATACTTTTCACTAATATATTTCTTCTAGTTGGCCCAAAGAAAAATTACATGTCCAGAATCTTCATGTCACTATTAATTTGAAGGGGGGTGTCAACAATACCACCACAAACTTCATTTTAGAACTACATCCAGAAAAGGAAACAAATTGTGGGTATTTTACACAGATTACTGCATCATTCTCTAGATATGAAAGTGATCTATATCCCTACAGAAACCTAAACCAGATATTTCACAGAATTAATCCATGCATTCTGGAGACCTTATAAATAGACAATCTTACTTACTTACTTATGGAGCTGAGCCCTTCTTGAGAAGCCGCCAATTGTGCAGCCACTCATGAATTTCCCAGCATTTTATGGAACCCGAAGGTTCATTACTATGTTCACAAGAGCCCTCCACTGGTCTCTATCCTGAGCCAGATCAATCCAATCCATACCATCCCACCATATCTCGCTAAAATCCATTTTAATATTGTCCACCCACCTACGCCTTAGTCTTCCCACTGGTCTCTTTTCATCTGGCTTTCCCACCAATATCCTACATGCATTCTTCACCTCCCCCATTCGTGCTACATACCCTGCCCACCTCATCCTCCTTGACTTGACCATTCTAATTATACTCAGAGAAGAGTATACGTTATGAAGCTCCTCATTATGCAGTTTTCTCCAACCTCCTGTCACTTCATCCCTCTTCAGTTCAAATATTCTCCTCAACACCCTGTTCTCAAACACCCTCAGTCTATGTTCCTCCCTTAATGTCAGAGACCAAGTTTCATGTCCATACATAACCACAGGCAAAATTATAGTTTTGTATATTCTAATTTTTATGTTTTTGGACAGCAGACGAGAAGACAAAAGGTTCTGGACTGAATGGTAGCAAACATTACCCAAGTTGAATCTCTTCTTAATTTACTCCTCAGTCAAATAGATAATCAGAAGTGTTAAATCTGAAACCATGTGAAATTAACTTCGACATGTCTCACAGACTTAATATCACTGTAAAATCTGCTTAACTGCATGAAAGGCACCACTTTCAACAATTGTAGCAACATGGTTAGTATTACGATTTTGCTGTCAGTGTTTCACGTGGACAGATTCACGCTCTTAACACTTGATAGGCCATTTCCTTTCTGCATGACCACTTGCCCACCAGATGGTATTCTGTTCACCACAATACCATATTATATGAATATTGCTGTTATGATGCTATCCAGATAAAGCAGTCTCAGCCATACACACTTATCCTCCACAGGTAACTGCAAACAATACAAGAATTTGAGTACTGTAATCACCAAAAGGAAGCATGATGACACTGTTTGAATGTAATATGGTTCCATGATGAACAAACATTTTTGACATTCTGGTAATGGGAAAATAGACAATTTCTTTTTCCCGCCACCACTAAGCTGTCAAAAATTGGGAAACAAGTCTAACTATTTCTCCAATAATTGTCCTTACTTCATTATGCCAGCTATCACTATAAATTTGGGGAATCTCTCGCTCTTTCTATACACATTTTGCCATTTCTTCCATAGTCCAAAATTTTGGATTCAATCTGTAAGTGCATTCAAAATATCTTCGAGTCCTTTCATGACCTCTCCATGTACAGGGAATATTTTTACTGTGCAGACCAGGTCCATGACTCTGCACTTCATGGTGACTGGTGACCTGCTTGCCACAAGGCGCATGCAAATTTTGCTGATGAATCAGTATGCCTGATGGCCAATAACGTTTTGAATGAAGGGAAGTAATTAAGTTGTGGACCCCTTAATCATATTATATTACATGCCAAGTAGTGCAGTTCATGAGTGGGAGTTTGCTTATGATTTGTCAGAAGTAGGTAGCAGTTATCACTTCCATTAGCCATTTGTTATCAGTTTCAGTTAGTCAGCAGTGTGGTATACTTTAGAGCAATGTGTATTTCTGAATGTCACCCAGATTGTGAAATACAGATCTGCTACAAAGTGTCAGCAAAAATGTTGATGAAAATTTTGTGATGAAAGAGTTCTCATCAGACAAACAATTCATAATTTAGTGAATAAACTTAGAACAATGGGACTCTTAATAGACAATGAACAAAAACAGATGTGCCAAGTGCTTACCGAGGAGAAGTTAGAAGAAACTGGGGCCAGACTTGAACATACACCTAGAAAATCACTGAAATGTCTAGCTCAAGAGACTGTAGTGTCAAAGTCTCGTGCAATATCAGCAACACAACTGCTGAAGCCATCCAGTGAAAGTTGGTATCTGGTGTGTTGAAAGTGCAAGGATTGCTGTACCTGCATTTTTTAATGAAAAAATATCTACATGTAGAGAGGACAGTATTTTCAACACCTCCTGTGATCTGTGAATTGTAACTACTTCATTCCGAATATTATCAGCCATCAGGCATGCTGATTCATCGGTAAAATTCATACGCGCCTCAGGGCAAGCAACGCACCAGTCACTGTGAAGCACAGAGCCGTGAACTCAGTTTACATAGTAAAAAATTCCCTGTACATTCTACAGCCAGTTTTATCTCTGCAACATGTGATTCTGAAATCTGGCCTTGTACTGTCCAAGCTTTACTTTCAAGCAGTAGAATGTGAGAACTCCAACAGTTTAAATACATTGATTATTAGGTCTATCACTTTTAGTAACTCTTGCATTCTACATCAGTGTTTTTTCAATATCAAGTAACAACCGTAGCTGCTAACTTGTACTGTTATCATGGTGCTAGTCACAATTTTGTCACAAATTTCTTCTTGCCCTCTAAATGCCCTGGATTTATATTTGTCTGTCAACATTTTGATTTCATATCTTGATATTAATTTATTCACTTTCTTATCTCGTATATTAAAACTATCTTCAAAGTCAGCTATTACTTCACAGCAAATATATCTTCGTCATTCTTAAGAAAAGACCAGAAAAACTGCATTACTATGTACATTCTAAGCATTGTATGACGACGCAGTGCGAACAAAAAAGAACAAAAGAGAGGTTATGTAATTCGTGATTTGAGGTTAAGGAGCAACAGCAGAAAAAATTGATAACCATCTACAACTGCTGCACAATACAAACCTATACGAATATTGGCTGGTGCGAATATTATGAAAACAGAATATGTAACTTGTATTAGCTGTGCTCTGCATGCATGCAACAGTAACACATTCTGTTACATGCCCAAAATGGGGAGGGGGAGGTAGAGCAGGAAAAAAAATTTACCTTTAATGTGTTACTAGAAGACTTGTCCAAAGGCTGATATTCCGTAGACTGTACTTCCTCACGTTGCGGCAACTTTGTCGACTTTCCCATGCTGGGGTTCGAAGCCATCTTAGTACTACCAAAATTTCGGATTTCGTCACCCACAGCCTTCAGCCAAGGACTGCATTTAACGTCTGCGTCTTCTCACACACATCACGTGTTTACGTCGGTTGTTTTGTAGACATTCAGCATTAAATCAGAAAATTCAATATAATCAAAGCTGAGCCTCCTCTTCCTCCTTAATACACAACAAACAACATTGTGCTACATATCGGCACCTACTTCGTTATTCATACAAAACACTACTGCTGCAAAACGCTTTTGCTTACTCCAACTCGCTCCAGCTGCTCCAACTATTGCTGACAAACGACAGTATCATTTTCCGTTGAATTTGACAGTTCTACGTACGTCCATACGATTTCAGTAACGATGGCCGCCATGGACGCCATATTTCACGTAATTTGTTAGTTTAGTACTTTAGTAGGTCACTGAGGCAGTGGTAAGTGACGCCGGATAGCTTGGTAGTCGCGCAACGACGTTTCGGAAGAACGTACTGCCTCCATTGCCAATACCCTGCTTGCTGTTCCTTAGCATATCCTGGCGATCCTGTAGTATTGCATCCTGTCTGTGGTACTTACAAATAAAATGTGGTGGGGTTGCCATTAGGGAAGCAAATTTTTTATTTAGCATGTTCCGGCCAACATAGCCCATCCGTCAGGCGATTCTTGAGGAAATACATGGCTACTATAACTGATTCATTCGTTTTTAAAACGCTATATTTCCCAAAGTATTACACGTACAAATATTATTGATATATAAAAAGAACCGTAANGCCAAGAACACTAGTAGAGCTGACGGAACGTATCGATCGTATCGATGCTGCAGTGATGACCATTGACAGGATGATGCTACAAAATGTGTGGAACGAGCTCGACTACCGCCTGGACGTGTGACCCAAGGGGCACACATAGAACATTTGTAGAATGTGAAGAAAACTTGGTGAGTTTATGGTTCTTTTTATATATCAGTCATATTTGTATGTGTAATGCTTTGGAAAATATAGCGTTTTAAAAACGAATGAATCATTTATAGTAGCCCTGTACAGAAATGTCTTCGGACTCCACATTAACTATAGCGCCAGTATAACTTTGTGTTGCTTTTGTCAAAATTTGGTCCCTTCCATCATAATACTCTCTATACATTGGATTTGAAGTTAATATGTAAAAATTAAAGTAAAACACTGCAAAGAGAAGATCCCTATAAAATACTGTTGTTGCATGTTTTGAAGTAAACCTTGTGGTGTTCAAACTTCCGGTTATTGTGCTAGGTTTGTATTTATTTACTTAGTGGATGTTTGTTTCTAGTAACAACTGCAACGAACTGTTATTCCATTCACCCCGTTATGCATCACACCATCGTAAAAAAGTGTTTCATGCTATTTCTTTTACCTAAGTTACATAGTTATTTTTTCTGCACACAGAAATTTCATTACAATAACTTATTAAAAGCAATACTTATTACAGACGCCAACCCGCCTGAAATACAGTGCATCATTAGAATGGCTACTGGAAGGAAACCTTCACAATGGAAATAAATACAAACGAAGCACAGTACCTAGATCTGACATCACCAGCTTTCTTCAAAATATCCAATAACCACATTTTATATAGATCTCTTTACATTGTTTCAGTTTAATTTTTAAATATTACTATAAAATGTAATGTATGTATAGTATTATGTCAGATCTGGCCCCATTTTAATTAACAAAAAATTGTGCAAGCACTATAGTTTATATATGGTCCATCACCATTGGTGCATTTCCTCAGTAATCACCTAATGATGGTATGCGTGGGCTGAAACATGTTGTGAACTGATAAATAAAAACATTAATTTGTGTGATGGTAACGCTTCCTCCTGCTCTTTGACCTTAAAGTTGGTGGCAGTATATTCATCCGACATCAGTCAAATTTTGCCATGTTACAAGGCGTCAACCCTCAAAGAGAGCACTCCGGACAATACATGTATGGCATTGTACATGTTGGCTGTGTTGTCTTCAGGCAGCTGACATTTACTTTGTTGGGTCCATAGAACATACTGGTGAACTGTCACAAGGGCTAGCCCCACCCCTGTGGTTTTATGATTAAGTCCAATGTCCTGGGTCATAGCCTCTACTAAAATCTGTAGTGTGTCAAAAGGTTAACCTGCCTCCACTTAAAAATGTTATATATACCCTGTTACTTTCATAAATCAGTGGGGTCCTGGAGTAATTCAGCGTCTGGGACTAACTAATCACCTTCCCTTCCCTAACTTTGGTGTAACTTGTGATTTCTTTAGGGGTTCATGATCTTGAGGCACTGGGCTGCAACGTTATATAAGCATAGTTTTTAAGAATTGGAGATGGAGATGAGAGTTGAGATGAGAGAGATGACGGTGAATTATGTCTGGTTGTTGCTAAGAGGAGGCTGGCCAGACTGACCTCTGCAAGCTGCCACAGCTTGTGTGGAATATACACACAGTTCAATAAAAACTGTATTCTGTAGTGAGTATTTGCTCTTTGTGGCTGGAGCACACACTCCGCCAGCCAACTGACAATCATCATCATTGAATTATTACACTACTGGCCAACAACGCAATCCAGTCAACCCACCTACAGCTTGTGACACAACAGGTCTGCCGAAGAACAATCTTTCAATGGGAACAGAATCTGAAGTATTCATAGAACCCCAGAATTCAAGACATGGCTCCTTTCCCAGTATATTTTTATGCTACTGTAGATTGCACATCTATTAATATGCACTTAGTATTTACTTTCAATCTTATTACATTTTCATTTCATTTATTCACCTTCCATAAATCCTGTCAAGAGTACATTCTCATGCAGGGAGATCATCCTGGTTACAGTCACAACTAAGGATTACAGTTCTCATCCAACAGAATGCACATTTGTATAAAATACTGATAAACATACACAATATAATAAATAAGTTAATTTTAGTAGTAAAAGTAATGGCAAACCTTCCACAATTTGTACAGTTTTATGCAAGTCTATTAATTAAAAATTCAATAGTTAAAACATAATGCATAAATATTAATGCAAGTTCATGCATGTTTCAATGGCTGCATGGTTATTGCCACACTGCCATGCATCATTTACTTGTTTTGGCATTTGAACAAGTTTTGGCCTTGCTTGGTATTCTCAGGTACATCATATGTTGTACATGAATGATGGCAATGTAACAAGAACAGAACCATGTTAGGTGGGTACCTTGTCACCACAGCAGGTTGTGTTATTGGGAGGAGACAGCCTCAAGATATGTTGGGTAGCTGCAAATATATGAGTATTGAATCAGCACCCATGGACAGCAGGCAAAGAATAGTCCTCCAGCTTGGGAGTTGGGTTGGGTATGGGGCTAACAGCTCCTCACCACAGAGATTAAGATTGTTGCAGAATGTCACAAAGGACATCAGACTTGAATATGCTCTTTGGATAAACGACCTAAATTAAGGGAAACAGACATAAGATTTGGTAGGTGGAATGTAAAAAATTGTGAGTGCAGATTTGCATATGACAGCTGCAGATGAAATATCAAAAAAGAACTTCGGTTTAGTGGTTAGTATAGGTCAGATGGGACAAAGATGGCATGAAACCAGTAGGCAAATATACACTTTTCTATGGAAAAGGGAATTTGAATCATGAATTGCATGCAGGTTTCCAACCCCAACCCCCTTTTCATAAGAGAATCATACCAGCAGTTAAGAGGGTAGAGCTGCTGGTGTGATATCATTGTTCTGAAAGTTCATGCCCGAGACTGATGAAATTGATATTGTCAGGTGTAGGGTGGTACGCATGACGAGAATGACAGGTTCTAGCTCAGATGATTGAATTTCTTAGCACTTTGGTTACAATCACTCTTAATTACACTTAACTACAGACAGTGCAACGTTTTCACTAATTTACATGCTTAATAATCCACTGTTATACACACAGTAGTCCTGTCCTGGTAATGCAATTAAAACACAGGAACTAACGCTTCAAATCATCCCAAATATTACACATAAATAAAATCTTGAAAACACACTTTAAATCCTCACAATGAACAAATGAATGAAGGATCCTGCATGCTTCTGTACTCCTGGTTCCATTTCGCTCCATTCGCATGATTCCGTTGCTGCTGTTTTCGAATTCGAAAGCCAGGACTCTGTCACTGATGGGGCTCATGACCAGATATTACTATCTGACAGTTAAGGTCATCTTTTGTGGGGTGCCCTCTCTGACGAGAGGATGGGTCTGCCTTTTGTACATGCTGCTGGTCCTTGCCAGTGCAGTCTTTCTCAGGCCCGAGTCCCTTGGGACTCACGACCATATTTTACTGTCTCAGATTTGAAACTTCCCTTTTCATTGACTCGTATGACTCGCAGGCTCACGGTGGAGGTATTCGACCCTGCCTCCACATGGGGTTCTGAACTTACGGCTTACAGCTCTCGTTATATAGCAGCAGCACAGATCCCATGGAAAACACAGCCTCTATTGTTGTAGAGGCGTATTTACATCATTGTCGCATAGCAACAGTCGCAGCACGGACTCTTTAGAAAACGGTCTCTCTGTTGTTGAGGTTGTTTACCAAGCCATTGCTTGGCAACACACTGATCAACTACATTACAATATTGTAGCATGTAGACCCATTCTCAAGTAATGACTGTGTAGGCAACAGATTTCTAACATGCAACAATTCAGTAGTAACAGAGGAACGGTGATTTCTGTAGTGTTGGTGCTGAGATGTTATAAGGAGGACAATTAATGAGATTTAGGCAGTGTGAAGAGTTTATTGGTAAATTACTGACTTGGTCAGAGAACAGCAGTTCAGTTCTTGTGAGCTTTTGCCATTTTTCTTTATTTAAATTATTTGACAGTTTGTAACAATCAGACTGTATGGCAGTGCCAATTAGAGATTCATACTATAATTTCTGGAACATACAACCGAAAAATTTATTTTCATTTATGTATTCCAAACTGTGATATGAAATACCACTCTAAAATAATGTAAAAAGCAAGTTCCACACTGCAGAGAAAATAAGTGAAAAAAGGAACTTATTTTCTTCCTCTGCCCCATATGCATTATTGAATTTTTAATTTTCTAGGTCAGCAATAAATCAATAAACATATAAACAAAAACGAATATGAGCAATGAAAATCAACTACATATGAAATTCTTATTTTATATTGTTAGTGAATGCTTTTTAATGTACTTACTTGTCTGATGTAATCTTTATGTAGGGCGATACCTTTTGTTCCAAAATTTAAGTAATTAGTAAATTGTATTTTATTTAGTATATTTGACTTTTGAAAATACAAACTGTACATTTATGTACTTAATATAAAATTCCATATTCAGTGTTCCAACAGTCAATCTGTGTCTCCACCTTATCATGGTGAGGGGGTTTGAGTATGCCAAGGACCCTGAGAGCTATACCAGCGGTAGCGTAGCTACTGGCAGGGCCTCCCTTGCTGGACAGGTCAAAGGGTAGGCATCAGACGAAGAGAGACACCAAAAACCAAAAACTGATGCCGGAAGCAGCGTCATCAGCAGCGACTTGAAGCACAGAACAAATGATGCTCGAGATGGTTCAAGTTCGTATAGCAACAGGCGTGACCAGAGTGGTTTGAACGGCTGTTGTACTGCGATGTGGAAAGCAAATGGAAAAACTACCACATTATCACTTTTCCTGGACAGTCTCTTTCCAAAAACAGAAGATCACATTAAGTGGAGGAACTGTTTTGGAAGAGACTGTGGACCTGTCATCTGACAGTTACTGATCAATCAATCAATCAGCAGTTCATATTTTCATTTCTATTAACTGGTGCATATATAAAGTCAATAAAGAATCCTTCATAAATTTTATATATGGTAGGCACACAAAACAAAATCAGAAGTGTAAGAGACATTTTCCTTCTGACCTCAGTAGTGACATACATTCGACAATATAACCTAAAATGTTCTATTCATTATGAATGCTTTTTTTTTTCCTCTCATAGTGCAGTTATTTTATTTGTAGTTTCATATTTTTACATTAAATCTTGCTGCTGCAACATGAATTTGTCGGTTTATTATCTTGGGAAATTCTCATTGATGACGTTTGCACCTCTACATCCTCCCTAGTTAGCATTTCTCTAGAACAAAGATAAATAAAACAATGTATTGGTTGTACCTAAGGTCCATGAATACAACAAACACATAGACCGAAACTGGGATACATTGCAATGTGGGCAGTGATTTTGTATGTGCCACTACATGCCAGCAAACAACTGGTACATAATCTTAATTTCGTGCATTCTGCTGTGCTACAATACATAACTCTTTAATGAACCGTCACAACACAGCAAATATTAAAACATCAAAATCAGCGTTCAGCTGTGGCTTTGCTACATGTTTCAGTCACTAACGGCCATCATCAGGCAAATACATATCAACAAAAATCTACCATTTAACTGCAATCATAAAATGGATATAACACAATTAATCGTACATTTTTAAAAATGTTTATGTAAAAAATACAAAAGTTCAGATTATAAAAAATTAAAAATTGAAAGTATTATATAATAAGAAAAATATTAATGATGTTTTCAAAACATCAAATCAGTCGTTGGATTTACTTTGTGTGCGTTTCCATGGACAATTTGGAAATTTGATATTACTTTATATAGAAGATTTCAAGAGAGGCACATGGTGTTGCAATTAATAAATTGTGTAATGGTGCCTTGTCTTACGAAGAATTGTCCATATTGCATGGAAAGCAAACAATGACTCAGTCATTTTTACATAAGCATTTTTAAATTTGTACGATTAATAGTGTTACATCCATTTTATGATTGCAGTTAAATGGTAGATTTTTGTTGATATGTATTTGCCTGATGATGGCCGTTAGTGGCTGAAACATGTAGCAAAGCCATAGCTGAAGGCTGACTTTGATGTTTTACTATTTGCTGTGTTGTGACGGTTCATTAAAGAGTTGTAAATTGGTACATACTGGCAAACGTGTCAAAAGTAAAAAATCTTATATCTGCCCATGCATTATACACTTCAAACTTGAGCCTGAAACTAAGTGTAAGAGTTTTGGTAAACATATTGTGACGTGTTGCACAACGGTAATAGGCAGGTCAACATCCTCCCTCCCCTCCCCCCGCCAGCGGTGACGTGCCGAGCGGAGCCGAAGTGAGCCGAGTCCCAGCACACTGGTCGCTATGCAACGCGGATAAACAGTGGCTGCAATAGACGATGGTAGCAACAGTGATGCCTACTACGTGGTTGTTTTCTCATTGCCCAGCTGAGGGTTTATAAGGGAGCTACACAGCCGCCGACGAGTTCTCAGTTCGCAAGTTACGAGTTACGGACGCGTGTGCGAGAATCAGTGATAGTTCGAGTGATTGGGAGTGTGTGATACAGTTGCACTTGTATACCTCCCGCATTATAAAAACGTGTATACTGACAATAGAGTGATTTGATTTGCGAATAGGGTTATAAATTGTGGAACCCCGCAACATTGTCATAATTAATTGTAGCCATTACTTGTAGGTTGTTGAATAAACCAATTAACAATCCTATGGCGTATTCAGTAACGAAACACATTACACTGGTGTCAGAAGTGGGATCAGTAGCCTAAACACATTACAAGTTATGTTTAGAAAGAAAGCATAGGTTGCCAGAGTAATTTATGAGTTAACAGTGGGGTAAGGAATAAAATATTTGAAGAATACAAGAAGTCAGCAGAGAAGTGTTTGTACTGTTGATGACTGATTAATTTGAAGTATGTATATCTAGGATCAAAACAGCTTACCTTGATAATGTGATGATAGCATCTAGAATGTTAGTGCCAGTTTTTGAACTTGTTTCAAGGAATATAGCCCCACAATCCCGAGATAAGAATTCACCTTCTACCATGTCGATGCAAGTGACACCTTTAGATTTTGCTTCAGCCCGCAAATCCACCTTGTTTCCGCAAAGAATGATTGGAACACGTTGCTCAGTTGCCTCCTGTTCATATACAAAACATATTAATGCTAAGTGAAATTTATAGATGAACTCAAGATTTTAAGGAGTGTTTACTTACATCTATACTTTGCACCCATTGTCTTACATTCAGAAATGACCTCTCACTTGTAACATCATATAGCAACATCACACCATCTGCTCGTCTGAAATAAGTTTTTGTCATGGAACGAAACCTTTCTTGCCCTAAAAGAAATGCAAGCACAGAATACAAACAAAAAGTAAATCTATTAAGATCTTCAAATCAAATTATAAAATTATTAACAGCTTATTTAATTCCAAACAAAAGGTTATAAAAGCATTCGTATGTGAAACTGTAAAAGCACTGTCTTAAAAAAAGCAGTAATATACTAATAATGAAAATTCAGGAAAAGCTACATGCCTGCAGTATCCCACAGTTGAAGTGCCACATTTCTTTCATCAACCCTGATAGTTTTCACTTGAAAGTCAACTCCTGTAATGCAAAGTTACAAAAAATCAGCTATATAATCATTTTATTTCAGTGTTCAGTATTTTAAATATTATATCTGAGCATCCTGTTATATTGAGGCATTATCCTTATTATTATAGTACCCATTAATATTGATTGATTGATTGATTGATTGATTTCGTCACTGTAGATCATTGTACATGATATATGACAAGTCAAGTTAATTCTGAATATTAACAATTTGATATATAAGTAGATTAAAATTACAATAGTTACAATTTTTTACTGCTGATTACAATTTAGAATTAGTTAGATATTCTTATTTGTGGAGAATTTGATGGAATGAACATTGGCAGGGGAAACCGAAGTACTCGGAGGAAACCTGCCCCAGCAACAACATTTTCAACATATAAAATATGCGTCTCACTAAAAGTGTAACTTTAATACTTTACAATGTTATAATCATAAAATGTCATTAAGACACTAAAAGTATAACTTATACATTAAAAATGGATTATCAAATTACTAAAATGTTCTAGTTTTACATGCTTTTTCTCAATTTACAACATGCTTCAGACACATATGGGCAATCATCAGGCAATTTTTCTTTTGTTTACGGGGAGACCACTGCACTGTTCACTTGTCTATGCTCATCATGCACATTGTTTTTTAGTTTTTATCTCATGACTAGAATGCTGTCATTGTATTCTTTTGTGGCCATTTTAAAGTTTATTTTCAACTAAAACGAGAATATATCTTGAGAGAAGTTAATGGGTATGCACATGAAAGTATTCATTTTAAACTCCCTGGCAGTAAAAATGATGGTAAAGGGTCTGTGCGGATAATTATAGGCAGTATATATAATATAATCCTCGAATGGCATACATAAAATTTCTTATTGAAAATTCTACCTGCATCAAAGTTAGATTATATGCTGCAGTCTATATATTCAGTTTTCTTAATTTTCTTGATCAATTGAAAAGAAATATCCAAAATTAAAAATCATATTTGAAAATTTCTTACTGAAAATTCTACCTGCAACAGGATGTTTACTTACTTACTTACTTACTTACTTACTTACTTACTCACTCACTCACTCACTCATGGAGCTGAGCCCTTCTGGAGGAGCCGCCAATTCTGCAGCTACTCAAGAATTTCCCAGCATTTTATGGAACCCGAAGGTTCATTACCATGTTCACAAGAGCCCTCCACTGGTCCCTATCCTGAGCCAGATCAATCCAATCAATACCGTCCTATTTCTCTAAGATCCATTTTAATATTGTCCACTACCTGCACATTGGTCTTCCCAGTGGTCTCTTTCCTTCTGGCTTTCCCACCAATATCCTATATGCATTCCTTGTTGCCCCCATTCGTGCTACATGCCCTGCCCACCTCATCCTCCTTGACTTGATCATTCTAATGCTACAATACAATATTATATTCATAGGCCATTTTAGGGGCATTCACAACCATGAGGAGAACCTATTAAGTTCACTCAGTCTATTCATTCATCAATCCAGCAACTCATCGATCAACTTCTGAACATGTAAGATTTGAGGCTTTCACGGCGGTGACTATGAAGAAAGCAGTCTTCTGGGATTTGGCACCGTGTATATGTGGTGTTAACCGACGTTTCGGAGGAACGTATCGCCCCCATCTTCAGGGTTGAAGAAGTATAAGTAAATCTGCAAGCGACAACACCGTGAGACCGTCAGTCTGCTTGACCATGTCTCACGGTGTTGTCGCTTGCAGATTTACTTATACTTCTTCAACCCTGAAGATGGGGGCGATACGTTCCTCCGAAACGTCGGTTAACACCACATATACACGGTGCCAAATCCCAGAAGACTGCTTTCTTCATAGTCACCGCCGTGAAAGCCNTAAATATTCTTTTCAATAGGTACCCCAGTTTTTGAGGTAACAGATAACGTCAGACAGTATAAGTAAAATTCTGCATTTCTAATTTCATCAATTACTTAGGTCTCCATACCACATCTGAAATTTGGTTTATCTGTTTTTTTTTTTGTTTTTTTTGTTTTTTTTATTTGTGCATATTTTCCTGTTCGATAGCACAGATAATTATGAGGACATTGTATATGTAAATTAGATATGTTGGAAAGGGAGACACACCAGAGCAGAGGTCCTCTGGTATAAGGTAATCACATATTTTGGTTATACTCTTGAGAAGGAACACAGAATTTTTAGTGTGGAAAGAGTATATGGTGATAGGCCTATCATCAGTCAAATATCTACTTGCCCTTCCTACATGAATAATGTGACCAGTTAGTGCACATCCACTGATTAAGCATAACATCATACATACATGTTAGATGACAAATTAAGTGCATTCTGTTGCTGCAGTAAGTAAAGTAAAAGAAAGTAAAGCTATTCTTGTAACAGGCCATGAAGTCCCATACAAAAGTAATTAATGCAAAAGACACTGTGTATATAAATTAGTTTGAAAGAAAATACCTCAGTTGAGTTTTATATTTTCATAATATAAATTTAACAATATAAGAAATGTACTAACCTAATGTGGAGCCAAGGTTATTAATGAAGACTCCCTTGCAGAAACGGAAAATGAAACAGCTTTTCCCCACAGCTGCATCTCCTGCAAATACTATCTTGTATGTTCTGTCTGGTGCACCAGTAGGTTCAAATTCTCCAGACATCACTGGTGTCAGTGGAACTTCTATTGAGTTTCCAGGTGAAATGAGTTTTCTGCCAACAACTAGGTTTTTTGCTGTAGGAAACATTAGTGGTGCATTACACTCCAACTCATCCATCTAGACAAAAAAAAAAGATGCATCTTTAATTTGAATTAATTGGTGATACCTTCTAAAAGAAGTTATCGAAGGAAAGATAGAGGGGCAGATAGAAATGACAAGAAGACGAGGAAGAAGACGTAAGAAGATGCTGGATGACCTTGGGGACAGAAGAGGATACTGTCATTTGAAGGAGAAAGCTCTAGATCGCATTAAATGTAGGAATTATTTTGGAAGAGACTGTGGACCTGTCATCTTGACAGATTACTGATGATGATGATGATGTGGTAAAAAAAGCATAAGTGAAGTTTTAGAATAAACCAACTTTATACTTCAGAATTCAAACTACAAAGCCAATGCTATAGAACATAAAGTAAAAAGAAGTTGTACTATTTCCTTTCCCACTGGTGAAGCCACTTCCTGCAATGTACGAAGTGTGTTCAGGAAATAACGGGAATTTTAAAATTTCGCGGGTTTGGAGAGTCCAATTGTCAAAATTTTTTTTTTATTATGTTGGTATACATGCCCCTGAAGTACAATAAAATTTTCAGCTGTATTCATTGCTTACTTTGTCTGTGGCAGCCGCTAAGGTTAGACGTGTTTTTATGAGCTTGGCGATTTTCGTTTGTTAAAAGAAATGGATCAAAGAATTTGTATCAAATTTTGCGTAAAAAATGAAATAAAGTGTTACAAAGTGTGTGAAATGTTAACAAAGGCCTATGGTGAGTCTGTTATGAGTAAAACAAGAGTTTACGAGTGGTATAAGCGTTTCCAAGATGGCCGTGAAGACGTTGCAGATGACGAGCGCCCCGGACGCCCCAGCACATCAACAACCGATGAAAACGTGGAAAAAGTGAAAGCAATGATTATGAATGATCGCCGAATCACAATCAGAGAAGTCGCTGATGATGTTGGCATATCGATTGGCTCATGCCATGAAATTTTTTCGAATGTTTTGGGTATGAAACGCGTGGCAGCAAAATTTGTTCCAAAATTGCTGAATTTTGAACAAAAACAGCGGCGAATGGAAGTTGCTCAGGAATCACTAAAGGAAGTCAACGATGATGCAGAATTACTGAAACGTGTTATAACAGGTGACGAAACATGGGTTTACGGATATGACGTTGAAACTAAGGCTCAATCGTCTCAGTGGAAGCATCCTGGATCGCCAAGACCGAAAAAGGCTCGACAAGTGCGTTCGAACGTGAAGGTTATGCTTACTGTGTTCTTCAATTTTAATGGCATAGTGCATCATGAATTCTTGCCTCAAGGTCAAACGGTCAATAAGGAGTACTACCTGAAAGTTCAACGCCGTTTGCGTGAGGCAATCCGAAAAAAACGCCCGGATTTGTGGAAAAACAATTCATGGCTTTTGCACCACGATAATGCACCTGCTCACACTTCGTTGCTTGTTCGTGAATTCTTGGCCAAAAACAATACTGTAACGATGCCCCAGCCTCCATATTCGCCAGACATGGCTCCGTGTGACTTTTTCCTATTTCCAAAAATAAAGAGAACCTTAAAGGGCCGTCGTTTTACAAGCATAGATGACATTAAAAGCGCATCGCTGAAAGAGCTAAAGGCTATCCCAAAAATCGAGTTTGAGAAGTGTTTCGATGATTGGAAGAAGCGCTGGCGTAAGTGCATAATATCGAATGGGGACTATTTTGAAGGCGACAACATTAATGTAGACGAATGAATAAATATTTTTTCCAAAATACGGAAATTCCCGTCATTTTTTGAACACACCTCGTATGCTATGTAACTTCCATGAAGTTGTTCATATTCATTCATTCACAACATTCTGACATGTGAGCTCAAAATTCTGACTAATTTTGAGTCTATTTCGAGAAGCTTACTGGTACTCAGTTGGCTAAAAAAATTCCTTCCTTTCATGTAACTCAAATATGCATTACAGTATTACATTACAGCTTAACAAATGGACCCTGTTCTAAACCAGCTGAATCCAGATCATGTATGTTGCTAATTCTCTTTCCACTGATTGAATTAGGCCCACTTTATAATATTCCAATTTCCAAATCTGATGTTACTTCTTTCTACAGTTTGTGCAGTATTGGAAACAAGACTTCTTACCTTCCTTTACCTTAATAGAAGGAACAAGATCACGAGAATGGACACAATTTGCAGAGTTCACTCACACTGAAGTCTGTCAATCAGTTGAGTTTTTATATTAGTCACATTCTTTCAATTTCACTGTTCATATATGATGAAGTGGATTGTATATAGGAAAGAATATTGAAGAAAGCAGTTGTAGTCTTTCTGAAAATATTAGTTTGGCTTTCATCTTGAGGGATTGAGCAAAACCATGAAAACATTATTACCCCTTTCATTCAAAATTGGAAAATTGCTACTGATCTGATCTGCTTACAAATTTCCAGAAACAGAATTAACATCTCTAATGCAAAAAAGAACAGTGCCTTAGCTCTGAAGTTAAAGGAACTTTAAACCACGTACATACACTCAACTCTCGATTATCCAGGGGTGGATCAAACGGTCTGCGGCTTAACCGGGGATTTTTTAAGCTTATATGTTGTTTAATATTCATTCGCTTTTGTTTCACGTGGTGAGTCGTAACACTATTTTCGAACTAGTGTGAACCGAGCTCTGCATTTTTTGGTCCCGTTATGCTAACACATTGTTCTAGGGTAGGGGTGAACGAATGCAAGAATTTCTGGAAAGTTTAAAGGGCAGATATACCGCCCCAGTTAGTCTCATTGTATCAATCTTCAAGTGTGTTAGCAAAACGTCAGGGTGTAAAAGGAAGTGTGTTGTGTTATTCAACAGAAACTCGTGTGAGCCGGGCTTCAAAATGCTAAGCAGTGACGAAATCGTAAGTTCAGTGGGGATGCAGCCAGAAGAGTGGGAAGAATGAGAATGAGGAAGAGGTGGACAGTGCTGCTAGTAAGAAAATATCACATGGTGCTGCTCTTAATCATTTGGAATCCTTACTAGACTATCTTGAGAGTGAAGAGAACAATTTACTGAGTGACAAGCTAATATTACGTGGGCTTCGTACGGATATCCATAAAAAGGAAAATGCCGAGAAAAAGCAAACGACAATATTATTTTTTTTAAGTGTTAAGTGTGAATATTCGTAAAAAGTACTGATGATGATGAAAACTGTGACTGAAATAACTAATTCACACAAGCGCGCGCATGCTTTGTAGTTACGAGTTGTGCTGCTAGGTGGTGTTAGCTGGGGGTCTCCCGCGACTGTTAGTGAGCTGGCGTCAGTCTGAGTTAAGTGGTTTGTCTGTGGTGCTCTGTTGTGTGTGTTCCTGTTTCAACCCTTTGGCGATTAGTGAGATGGCCGACCAGAAGGAACAAAGAGTGTGCGTGAAATTTTGCTTTCTGTTAGGGAAAACTGCAGCCGAGACTGTTGGGATGCTTCGGCAAGCCTTTAATGATGATGCTTTGGGGAAATCACAGGTCTA